TATGTGTACATATATGCACATATATATATATATATATATATATATATATATATGCACATATATATGGGCATATATGCATATACATACAAAATTATCCAATAAATTTAATAAATTAATAATAATGAACACAGTGACTTAAATGAATAAAAGCATCATTAGAACCATGCATATTTAATTTATGAACAAGTATACTAAAAGCTTATCTTTAGAGCCAAATAGAAAAGGATTAAAATATTAGAGCTTAGGTATATCTGTGGGGCCTTGAGCAAGTTACTTATCAGAATGAACATCAGTTTTTCCTACCATAGAATTACAACAATGATATCAAGTTTGTCCAATCAGTATTAGGAGAGCCTATAATGTTTGGGTAGCAATATACCGAGAATTAAGTCATTGTAGATTCTGGAACATGTTAAGGATAACACTTAGATTAGTAAAGCCCTACCATAATACCCCTAATTCCCCCATCAAATCTTTCCTCCAAATAGTAACCAGGGATCGAGATTATAGCTTTTGGCAAAGACTGTTCTAAGACTAGATGGTGCCTATTCAGTTGGAACTAGAAAAGGTGCCCACAATATGGCCTTCTTGCTAACTTTCCCTTGGTCACATGTGCATATTAATTTCACAGTGCTCTTATCACCAGCCACCTAGAAGCTAGCTGACAATAGGCTTTTCTGGAAAGCCAGTCACTTTATATTGCTAAAATGATCCAGTGAAATTGACAAAACAGGCTCCCCAAACAATAAATCTCTCAACTACTTCAAGAGAACAGTCAGAATTTTATGTTCCACTGGAAAAATATACAGCTTCCTGATGGTAACTCTTTTTCAAAGAAAATTTCTAACTCCAAAGCTTCTGGATGGTAAGATGGAATTCCAACTGGTCAGCAGAAAGCAAATAAACAATTCATGTTCTCTCTCTCCCTTTCCCCTCCCCCTTCCTATCTCCCCTTTCTAATCTTAGTAAAGACTACATGACTAGTTATTATATAAATTCCCTACATATGACATTGTTGCCAAAGTCTAGATTTATTTCATTAATATTAGATATCTTATGCCAGTTGAAAATATGAAACTAACAGCATTGGAAACACAATTGCTTTTCAGATATGAAATTGTATTATTTGGCTGTGCATTCTTAGAGTCCTAGATGCTCTAAGAATCTTTAAAATGATGGTTGATAATTTAACTAATGCAAAAGGGTTATTCCTATCAGAGCTTGGCTAGCCTCTGCATGAACAGCTCTCCAGTGTTGGTGAAATCAATAAATTCTGAAGCAATCCAGTCTTTTAATGGCCAATTCAGTTTGTCATAAAGTTCTTTACTGAGCCAAATGACAACACTGTGACAGTTTCATAAATAGGAATTGTTGCCCAAGGAGGACACTAAAGACATTTATCAAAATATGAAATAAATCATTTCACAAGTTGTCCAGATTATTTTTGCTGTTTTCCAAAAAAAAATCAGTGATGAGAATACTAGTGAGAGATTTGAACTACATTAAAAAATATATAATAGGATAACAATAAATGTCAGGAAGTTTTAGGGAAATCCCTAAGATTAAATGGATCATGTTGCTGAATTAACAAGACAAAAAATAACTCCTCTGCTTAACAATAACAACTCCTTTTGCTTCTCTTTGAAAATTCTCTACTAATATTCCTCTGTCATTTGTTTATTCAACAACGCAACTCCTACAACTAAAGCTCACGAAACATCACAGAACAGGGAACAGGAGATTATAGGAGCCAGAAGACTAGAAAATTTGCTTTGAGATTGTATCTCCTGTGAATTTCAGGGAAGTTCCACCCATGATACCTCAACAGTATAGCTGTCTAAACCCATCCTGAATAATGATAATATCAATAGATGTGCTAAAATAGATGGGAACAATAT